ATGTGCCAGCAATGCCCCTCTGCCATGTACGTTGGCCAAACCAGACAGTCTCTACATAAAAGAATAAATGGACACGAATCAGACATCAGGATTGGTAACATACAAAAACCTGCAGGAGAACACTTCAATCTCCCTGGACATTCAGTAACAGATTTAAAAGTAGCCATCTTCAACAAAAAAACCTTCAAAAACAGATTTCAAAGAGAAGCCGCAGAGCAACAATTCATTTACAAACTTAACACCATTAATTTGGGCTTGAATAGGGCCTGGGAGTAGGTGGCTTACTACAAAAGCAATTTTCCCTCTCTTGGTATTGACACCTCCTCATCAATTATTGGGAGTGGACCACATCCACCCTGACTGAATTGGCCTTGTCACCACTGGTTCTCCACTTGTAAGGTAACCCCCTTCTCTTCATGTGCCAGTATATATTTATGCCTGTATCTAATTTTCACACCATGCATCTGAAGAAGTGGGTTTTTTACCCACGAAAGCTTATGCCCAAATAAATCTGTTAGTCTTTAAGGTGCCACCGGACTCCTCATTGTTTTTGTGGATACAGACTAACACGGCTACCCCTCATATATGGAGAGAATCTCAAAAAGATATCAGATGTTTTGCTGGAGCAACAGGGCTCTAGTGACTACAGTATTACTTACGCTCATTGCAAGTAGCACTGGATTAACTCAAATGATCCTACTAGAATTGAAACTCTGGCCTCCTAAAACAAAGAGACTGGAAGGACTTCTGGTATCCTGGATACCCAAGGAGAAAATTTTCCTAGATTATGTACCAGTGATGCTTTAAAAGAGAAAGAGTTTTGTCTGTGCAAATACTGTTATGTTGGACAAGTTTCTTTCATCTGTCTATTACTGACCCGCTGAGAAGGATGTAAACAATAAATTTTATTAGAAATTCTGAAGTGATGGCTTTTGATAGTGTGAGAAACAGATAGGATCTTGGTACACCTGCATGGTAGAGAGAACTTCGATAGTGTGGCATTTTTGACCAAACTATGCATGAAGTAGAAATGGGACAATGAGAGTGTGGCCGTGAAGATGGTATTAAGTCATGTTTGTGACTCCTTTATTCTTGGGTCAGCCAGGGCCTTGCCTAGGCCCCATACATAAGTTAAAGCAGTCCTAACTACTTGTGGCCATGAAGGACTGGTTTCAGTAGCTAAGAACAGCTGGAGCACAGAGATGGTCTGATTACACCACACCACCTTTCCATCATCCCTACTTCTTATGCTAGAGGATGTGGTAATGAGTGGCGTAGATCTTTACACCACTCAGGTATTTATATACAGTACTGGAGAAACATACTGTGATCAGAGCCAATTAATTTAAAGCCCCTTTGCACTACTGAACAGGCATAATAATGCCATAGCACAATAAAGAATCAAGCACTGTATTTCTAATGTAGACGTCAAGTCTCAGTCCTAGCGAATACAATCCTTTACTTGTCTACAGTGATTTAATTTTGAACTGTTTATGTACCTACATTAATTACCATTTTCTTCTTTTCTTGTTGTGTGGGCACTGTTTTTAGATGTTGGCTTTTAATGGCAATGTGTGGTTTAAGTATAAAGAAAACTGGGTGGTAACCACTTGCAAATGTTAAAATTTAATGACAGCCACTATATATGATGGTCAGGAGATTATAGCAATTTATAAAAAAACAGTAGGATTCAATTAAAGATTGGTTAATATGGCATCCTAAGTATGTACTATTAGGAAATACAAGAGGCTTAATACTCTGTAATTTACCTACATTTCAGGTAAGCTGGAAAGGCACATGATGTCATTTATTATTTTATCATGAAGGGTGCATTGGCTATCTAATGTATTTGATTTTGTTGTTAAACTCATTTGCATTTTACAGCAATATTTAACCTTAGGCTGAAGGATTATCATCCATATTATAGTAACAGCTTGAGACCCCAATCAGGAAGCTATTGTTCCAGGCGCTACGTTTAATAATAATATTAAAAAAAAAAAAAGCAGCGAAGAATAGGCAACAGTACAGCCAACCTGATTATGGTCATGGACTGCTTTATAGAATGCCTTGGAATAATTCAGAGAAAATAAAAAATTACAAATAAACCTAATTCTCTCTCATATACATAGGCGTTCACTGGTCTGCATACTGTGGGTGACTGGAAAAGTGGGTGACTGAACTAATGGAAGAGCCAATTCCTAGGAAAAATATCAAATACAAGGTAATTTTTTTCCTACAGCAATTGACAAAAATAGAGACAGTTGACCTAATTTGCATACTTTAATTTTCTCGTTTGCAAAATTTAAAATAAAAGGCAACAGGACCAAAGACTGCAACAACTGAGGTGAGAAAGTCAATCTTGTATTACTTGGGTAAAGAATTGGAAATCTTAAGTGGCCACAATGCAAATCTTATCACACAGAACTCTTATCACCCCAAAAAACAGTTGTGAGGTCCAACCACACTCCTCACTGATTCTAGACTTAGATATAAGAAGGAACTGCAATGAACAAATTCTAACAAGAAACAACTGACTAGGTGACTGAACTGGTTTCTATTATATATACCTTCATTACCTCCAGACTGGTTTATTGCAATGTAATTTATCTAGGCTTAATAACATCAGCCCTGAAAAAGTTGCATGCACATTCATTTGAAGTTCCTCAGAAGTTTGTGAAATAATCATGCTCTATAGCTCCCTGAGCAAAGCTGAAGCTGTTTTCCGAGATGGAAGGAATGGGCAGGTCTACATTATCAGTTAAGTTGATCTAACTTGCATTGCTGGGGGGGTGAGTTTCACACCCCTGAGCGACAAAAGTTTTGTGTGGTCCACACCCACACTATGTTGGCAGGAGACGCTCTCCCAGCCACATAGCTCAGCTTCTCCCCCAGGTGGAATAATTATGCACATCTTCACCAGATGTAGCATTGTAATGTAGACTTGCCCAGTGTAAACTATGATCAATGAAGTGCTGCATCAGTCCAGTCCAGTGAACCTAAACTCAAAGGAAGAAGTAGGAAAAAAAAGAGCCTAAACTGCCTCAAATCTGGTAGAACGAGCAAATTTAAATCCACAAATATCATCCAGACCAGTGGATATCTAAACATATGAGAAAGGTTGATAATTATCTTCTTCGTCACCAACAGAGGACAATCATGCTGTATCTGTGTTACTTTGTTTCTGTTACTATGGGTATGTCTACACTACGGCAATTGCGGCCACACTAACCCTAATTTGAAATGGCAACGTCGATTTTGGCGCTACTCCCCTCGTCGGGGAGGAGTACAGAAATCGATTTTAAGAGCCCTTTATGTCGAAGTAAATGGCTTCGTTGTGTGGACGGGTGCAGGGTTAATTCAATTTAACACTGCTAAATTCGAACTAAATTCATAGTGTAGACCAGATCTTATACAGCACAACAGGTACTATTAGAATGACATGAGTAGATGAATCACAGTTTTAAAGGGAGACAGCACTATGTTAACCATTTAATAAAATTAGAAGTTAAGCAAATAAATAATTAACACAAAAACTAGATCTATCATATTCTTCTGGTTTAATCTTTCATTTTCTTAATAATTCTCCTTTTGTCTTAAATGTAATTTAAAATAGACCACTGCAAAATTTTCCCCAAAATTAGGTTTTCTAACAAGCATTTACAAAATGTAAGACCAATAAAAGCATTTCTCTAAATTATTAAAATTCCAATGATGAGTTTAAAATAAACATTTACAGTAAAGTATTTGCAATATTCAAAATATTTATAAGTATTGAGATTTTGAAGTGAAAATAACTATCGACTTCATTGTTTAACTTGAGGAAATGGAAGAAATAAACTGCCTAAATAGTGAAAAACAAACTGATTTTTATAATTCTTTCAGTTTTAAAGTGTAAATGATATCATTAACAAGTGTTATTTTTTTAAAAAAGTTTAGCATCTCTTTAAAACTCATATACAATACTAAGGTATACAATATGAGTTATTAATCAGACAAGAGATTACTGGGAAAGTTGTAATTTGGTATTATGGAAGATGCCATGAGTGATTAAGACTAAGCTGATAAAAGACATTTTAATCAGATTAAGAGACTGGCTGCACTTCATTAATAGATGAATACTGTAGGTGAAAGAATGAACACTAACAAATAAATACATTTCTAACACAATGTAATACATTCACTATACACTCAATGAGCCAATTTATAATACAGGAGCATGGAAGAGGAGCATGATTGCATGCATGCAATGGAGTTTGGTCCAAAGAACCACTTGAAATTTTAAGACTCATTTGCATTCACCAATTATCTTATACTGTTGGTTTAAAAATAGGTGTACTAGACATAGCTATGTAGTAAACAATAGAAACAATTTTGTGGTATACTGAAAGACTTGCATAATGACTTAACTCTCTTGTAACTAGGCTTGGCAGAATTCAATTTTTATCTTTATGATTTCAACAGATATATTGAAGTTTCTATTAACCTTTTTTAGATTTTTATCGAGTAGATGTTCACACATGTGCTGCAACTATGGGTTAAGCTTTTTTCTTCTATTTTTATCCATTTAAAGTTTCACAATTGTGGGAAATTATTGGGGCAGGGGGGAGTTAGACAATAATTATTTAATGACAGTAGACATTTGAAATTCAAAAAGTTAAAGTTTTAAAACCATTGAAACACAAATTGTCAACATCACGTCAAAATATACAAAGTAAATATCCTTAAATCAAACGCTGAAGTTCTCAAGCAGCATTTTTCTTAATTTGCCTATCTGTATATTTCTATTATAACGGATGGAAAGATTTTTTCATTGATTTATGTGTTTACAGTGCAAGACCTTTACTGATAAAAATCTAATCCTTCCAAGCCTACTTATAGCCTATGTTAACAAAAATTCTTAATCAGTAGTTTGCGGATAGAAAAATCAGTTTCTCGTGGTAGAAATAGCTCTCTATTTCCTTTACTACATACATTCCAGTTTGTTTAAAAAAAAAAATTACCTGTAATTTCTTAAAATGTGATTCAGAGATGCATTTTACTTCCTCCCTCTCTGCAAACTGAAGGACAATATAAAGTACAAACATGAATATCTGTTTTCCTCTCTAGCCAAGTAACACTGGTTTATGTTTACATGCCCAAATTAGATAAAAGTCAAAAGCAGATACCTTATAGGTTATAAATATAGGTAAAACCGTATAAATTCCAAACACTTGGCTCTCCCATCATGCAGTGTAAATTTATTATGAAAACAAATTTTTAAGTTGTAGCAACTGTTCGATAAACATACTATAATTGTTACAATGTTGCCACATGTTTAACATTATACAATGTATGCTTATATTTGGTCAAGATAGTTAAGTCCAAAGCAGACTGCGGAGAATTACGAAAGGATCTCACAAAACTGGGTGACTGGGCAACAATACAGCAGATGAAATTCAATGTTGATAAATGCAAAGTAATGCACATTGGAAAACATAATCCCAACTATACATACAAAATGATGGGGTCTAAACTAGCTGTTACCAGTGAAAGAGATCTTGGAGTCATTGTGGATAGTTCTCTGATAACATCCACTCAATGTTCAGCGGTAGTCAAAAAAGGTAACAATGTTAGGAACCATGAGGAAAGGGATAGATAAGATGACAGAAAATATCATAATGCCTCTATATAAACCCACGGTATGCCCATATCTTCAATATTGCATGCAGATCTGGTCGTCCAATCTCAAAAAATATATATTGGGATTGGAAAAGGTACAGAGAGGACAACAAAAATGATTATGGGTATAGAACAGCTTCCATATAAGGAGAGATTAAAAAGATTGGGACTTTTCAGAGATGATTAAGGGGGGCATGGGGTCTGATAGAGGTCTATAAAATCTTGACTGGTATAGAGAAAGTGAATAAGGAAATGTTATTTACTTCTTCACATAACACAAGAAACTAGGGGCTGCCCAATGAAATTTAACAGGCAGCAAATTTAAAAACAAACAAAAGGAAGTACTTCTTCACACAACACACAGTCAACCTGTGGAACTCCTTGCCAGGGGATGCTGTGAAGGCCAAAACCAGAACAGGATTTAAAAAAGAACCAGGTAAGTTCCTGGCAGATAGGTCCATCAATGGCTATTAGTCAGGATGGACAGAGATGCAATACCATGCTCTGAGGCCACGGCTACACTGGCGCTTTAGAGTGCTGCAACTTTCTTGCTCAGGGGTGTAAAAAAAACACCATCCTGAACGCAGCAAGTTACAACGCTGTAAAGCACCAGTGTGAGATGTGCTCCCAGTGCTGTAAGCTAATCCCCTGCAGCTCTCTCCCAGCGCTGGTGTGTGACCACACTCGCACTTCAAAGCGCTGCCGCGGGAGCACTCCCGCAGCAGCGCTTCGAAGTTTTGAGTGTAGCCATGGCCTGAGCATCCCTAGCCTCTGTTTGCCAGACGCTGGGAATGCACGACAGGGGATAGATCGCTTGATTGCCTGTTCTATTCATTCCCTCGAAAGCATCCGGCATTGGCAACTGTCGGAAGACAGAATATTGGGCTAGGTCAGTGGTTCTCAAACTTTTGTACTTGTCCCTTTCACACAGCAAACCTCTGAAGGTGACACCCCCCCCCCCAATAAATTAAAAACACTTAATATATTTAACACCATTATAAACGCTGGAGGCCAAGTGGGGTTTGGGATGGAGGCGGACACCTCATGACCTCCCACGTAATAACCTCGCAACTCCCTGAGGGGTCACGACCCCCAATTTGAGAACCTCTGGGCTAGGTGTACCACTGGTCTGACCGAGCATGGCTGTTCTTATGTCCAGCAAGAAATTTCCTCAGACTGTTGTCAAATGATAGCAATGCACCTTTTATTCATCTCTTAAAATGTCAATAAAAGCTTTTTCACCTATAATGAGATGAATGAAGAGAGTCTCTCTGATCTCTCAGACAGGACAGCAGGCTCCCGTCCCCACTGCTTTCTGTGTTAGCAATATCATCAGCTATTGCAGAGAAATGGCACTTAAGCTCTGAGTTTCGTAAGGTAAGCAGGGGAAATGGGTTTGATACAAATATATTTGAAAATATAATTGTAAGTTTTATGAAAATACATATCTCCTATTAACATTAAATCTATCATACTAACCTGATTTTTGCCAGAGATGAACTTTCCACTTTATTCAAATGGATCAAAGCTAGTCATCCATTACAAAATAATTATTTTATCATCTAAATTAATGCTACTAAATTACCCAGTCCTAACTTCACTGTACCTAGTTCCTTGTAATGTCAGAGGATTCCATAGGCATGCTTTTGACACACAACCCTAAATGTAACATCTGAAGTTAAATCGTGAATCTGTCAAATTTTTAGCTAAAAGCCTCTCAAATAGTAACTAAAAGGTATTTAAGCAAAATTTTCTCAGGAAAACGAAATACTGTCGTTTTATTCATTATCCCAGCAACTGGCAGTAGCAGCAGAAGACAGAGATGTCAAACTCTAAGGCTAGACACTATATACAGCAGCCTGAAGAAAACCTGTCTCCTGAAAATGTACTAAAAGCCCTACAGGCTTTTTAATCTCCAACCGAGACTTAATATTTGTAATGGATAAAACTCTAAAATATCAAAATAACTTGTGTTAGAGTACTGCACATAGCCACAAAATAAAAACATTAACAAATGGAAGATAAGGAACTAAAAATTACTAAGATAATAAATATTTATCATAGAGATTTGAAAACAAACATCTATAAGTGAGTCATTATTACATATATTGAGCCCCAAACCTGAATGGGTTCTGTAAGTGCCCCTGCCATAACAACAAATACTAAAAAAAAAAAAAAGCAACCCCCAAACCATCCTGTTCCCAACCAAATACTGTCTTTTAATCTCAAAGCAGAATGGCAAAACACAAAAATAAAAGCAAAAGCATATGAAGGGTTTTAAAACTCAGTAAAAAAAGATAAAGCAGACTTCTGTTGCATACTTCTTTCAACATCCAAAATATAGCAATCCAAAATGCATGGGTTGAACTCATATCTTTAAATGACAGCAACTCTACTTGATCAGATGGTGTGATGACAACCTCAAACCCCATTTGGCCTCTCAAGATATTACAAGCAAAAGCTTCCAATCAAAGGTATTTACAGTTCAAAATCTTTTTAAGCCAGCTTGCAACAACTTAAAAGTGTGTGGTAGGGAACATTTTCAAAGCTTTGAGACTCATACTATCACATCAGCAAGAAATTTTTCCTTATCAGATGTTGTATGCCAGATGTGCCTCTCCCGCTTCTGTAATGCAGCTCCTATCCCCATGCAAGAAAAGCTTCTGTTAAAATAAGAGTCACTCTCTCATGAGTCACCTTTTGAAAAAATTAATTTGATGGTCAGAACAAAACATCAAGCCTTGAGAAGATGAAGCCTGGAAACTACAGAACAGGGGTAGGCAGCCTATGGCACACGTGCCGAAGGCGGCACACAAGCTGATTTTCAGTGGCACTCACACTGCCCAGGTCCTGGCCACCAGTCTGGGAGGCTCTGCATTTTAATTTAATTTTAAATGAAGCTTCTTAAACATTTTGAAACCTTATTTACTTTACATACAACAATAGTTTAATTATATATTATAAACTTATAGAAAGAGACCTTCTAAAAAGGTTAAAATGTATTACTGGCACACGAAACCATAAATTAGAGTGAATAAATGAAGACTCGGCACACCACTTCTGAAAGGTTGCCGACCCCTGCTATAGAAGAATTCAGATTTTCCAGGCAAGACAAAACTAGTCAACAATCCAAAGATTATGCTGATGTCACTGATTTTCTTTGTTCTGTAGCCTTTTCTGTCAGTCAAAGGACTGGGAGAGAAAATGAACACCAAATCATGGAGAAAGCATTTACTGCAAAAACTATTTCACAAAACATGAAGGTCTTTCTTTTGTCATTACAGATGCAAACTGACAGAAATAGATTTGTCTGTGAGAAGTGAAATTATTTGCGGTTGAATGGTTATGTTATGGGATGCAACCCAGATCGGTGAAAAGTTGTGTCACTGTTTACCCTGTAACCCCAAGTGCATCACAATGCCTTGATTTTGTGGGTGTCGCAGGCAGAGAACTACAGTAGCAAAGCATTGAGGGTTAGAGGTGACAACTTGATCCACTCTCTTCTGCGAGCCAACATGTAATTAGAACATCAGCCAGTGTATTTTTTCTCCTCAGAAGAGAATAGGACTCAGAAGAATAAGATACTTTCCTGACCAAAGCTCACACAATAATTGATTCAGAATTATCACCCGTTTGGATGCAGTAGTCACATTGTCAATTCAATCACTTTTGTTTCAAGCGGAATTCTGAGTTGTCAAAAGAAGATCAAGATGCTTGAAGCTCTATAAAATGCATATTCAATTCCTTTGCCAAAGACAACCTTCTACCTTGAGTCACATGTTGTCCAGTGCAATCCATAGCAATAGCATTTATGGGTGTTCTACCCATAGCCCGTGACAGGTGAAATGAGTAAAGATCTACTCACTCCAAGCAATGAGCACCCAATATTGAAGAAGAGAAGGATTAGATGACTGGAGTGGAGTCTGATCTAAGAAACCACTGCATTATACATGAAATCAGCAGACCCAGTGAATTAAGACTGTCCAGGTTCTGGCTGGGCACGTGAGTCACTGAACTACATATGGAATTCTTCCACAACAGAAGATTTCAACTCTGGTTATCTAGAACTGAACTTCCTGGTGAGAATCTAGGTAGACTCTGATATATCCTTTTTCTTCAACTAAGGCCTTGTCTACACTACAGAGTTTTGTCAACAAAAGGAGGCGTACACACTGCAATACTCCTTCCACCAACAAACTTTCCTGCTTTGCCGACAAAATAAAACCATCTTGACAAAAGGCATAGAGCTTTTTGCAGCAAAGTTATATCGACAAAGTGTGAGTGTAGACAGCGCGCTTGGTTATGTTCCAATAAATGGCTCCAGGAGATGTCCCACAATGCCTGATTGCTCTGGTCAGCAGTTCGAACACTGCTGCCTTGCACCAAGGTACACAGACAT